ATATATTCATATTAATATCATAGAAATAGAAGACATTCGCTGTCATGTAATGCAAAACAGAAGCTAGAGCCTACCGGGATGAAGGGGTTAAATGATTTCTAGAATTGGGAAGTTTTTCTGTCCCCTGGGATTCTCAGTGAGCAAAGGGCAAAATGATTTTCAGCTCTTTATTATCCGCTTCATCTAATCGCTAACATGTGTCATTATCAAATGTCTTTTATCTCAGAGCGGCTTCCAAATGTATGTGAAATCCCCTTGAAATGGCCGATGCTCAGCTCAGCCATGTTTCAGTCCTGCTACACAGCTGGCGTACATTAATAGATGTATATTTGCACACTGATATGCAATATGTACGTTTTGTATTGCATGAACTTTTAAAATGATTTTTCTGAAATTTCAGGCCTCTCCCTTCATTGGTCTGCTGGGAGAAGAGCTGCAGCCCCTCTCCCCACATATTACCTTCAGGAGACAGAAACAGCAGCTGCTGCCACTATCCTCAGCCTGGCCAGGACGTGCATGTTCTGGGTATCACAGTGTTTGCCAGTCTGTACGTTGCTGATTTTATTGTGTGATTTGAAAACATGGTAATTATATTATAGCCTTGACTTCCTGTACGTTGCTAGTAACACTAAGATTAACAAAGAGCCTGTCTTAAACCAGATTTAATGATAATAAAAGATTACGGTTGGATGGGGCCCCAGAGTTCTCTCATTACCCGGCCATAGGCCGTAGTGAAGAGTTAAATTTGGTGATTCTGCAATATTGTTCTCGTTCTCACGTGATTTATCGATAGATTGAAACCAGCGGGATGACAACATATAACACTGAATAAAATAGAATAAACAGCAATTGTTTAATCAGCTTCTAATTGCGAGAAAACACATGGCGTCCGGTTCCCACTATTAACTATTAATGTGTGTTTGAACTCAGCTTCAATCTCGTAACAAATCGTCCGGGTGGAGATAGGATCAATTGGAATAGAGCGCATACCAACCCAGGGAATTACTGAGAAAAAATACTTTTTCTAATTCCGTTATATGCAATCCTCCGGTGATTTGCTGACAATTCACAGTTTAGTGACCTACACACTGATTGCTTTTGGCACATTGTATATATAAAAAAGTCTGATGAGCCAGCGGTTAACAAAAGAAAGAAACCGTACAAGAAAAATGTTATGTAATTTCAAAGGACTAGAACAACTACAGCTTAATGGTACCTATGCCCTGTCGCTGCAGCCTTAGCACTGTAAACACAGCCTTTTCAGAGAAAAGACAGTATTTGCATTACTGCTGAGTAACACCTCTATGGGCAGCCACTCAGACAGCCACTAGAGGTGCTGCCTGGACCAGTGCTGTGCAGTGTGCAGCACCTATATTCAGTGTCTCCACACTCTGCGTTCCGCAAAGAGATGCAATGAAGAGATGCTGATTGTCACAGCGGGGAGTTTTGCTGTGCATGCGCGATAGCTTCCCAATGGTTTCCGATGGGAAAACATTGGATTGGCTGAGATCATCGAGGAGGTGGAGCCAAGTTGGAGCCTGCGCCGGCGGAACCATACGGTGCTGGAATAAAGGTGTTTTTTTTTTACTTACTTAAGGGGGGCAACGGGGGCCGGGGACCAATAATGTTTATTTTTAACACTATAGTCTTAGGAATATATGTTTGTATTCCTGACACCTTTAATATTTACTATCTGAACTTTGTCCAGAAATGGATCAGAAACATTGTGCACTCACCACATTAAAAAATGTTACCATGGCAAAATTAAATTGTATAAACCTGAGCCGCCTGCAAGTGGGCAGCTAGTAATTAGTAATAAATATTCTACTTTACTGAGCCGCTGGCTCTACCCAACTTAACCCTTTTTAAAAGACAATACGGAAAGCAAAGCTTTTCATTTGTTACAGATTTATAACCTATTTGGATCCTCACAGTCGGATTATGGAATCCAGAGAGCAATGCCACCTTGTATCATCAGAGCAAGACAATGTTTCTTGATAAATATCCAAAGAAAGACTTTGTTTCCTGGAGTGAGAAAAATGAAAATGTGTGTTTTTTTTTTTTTTAATTCATCTTTTGTTCTTATTATTTTTATTATTAACATCTGACTTGAATCATTCTACCCTTTTATCAAAGTGTTCCACATTTCTCCACGCACACACAGAACACTGAATGAGAGCCGCAGTGAGCAATGAATTCTGGGAAATCTTCGTGTGGCGAGAGGTTTGTGACAGTCACAGGGTAATTCAATAAAATGTAAGTAATTAGACATTTTAAAGCAAATTTCATATTTTATGCCAAAGTATTGAAAACATAGCTGACTGTTTTTCCAATGTGGGTATTTTAATGTTTTAGTAAATAACCCTGTATGTGCGTAGGAGGGGGATAGGGATTTTATTATTTAATCAAAGCACAGACTGTTTGGTTCCGATTAGGAAAGATTGGACAATGACAAGAGCAATCCTTATTTAATGCTTCCAGTCATCGGGTCGCACTACTAGCTAAAGCCCTGTTTTCTATTTCAGTGGAAAGCTGGTTTGGGATTTGTGTTTTGATTTGATGAATCACTCGCTATAAACTTTGCAAGTGATCTTTCCACCCAGAGATTCATAAAACCAGTTACAATGTTTTAATGAGAAAATGATTCAATCCTTTCTTGTTGGGGTCTGGTACAGAGAATGCACTTTGCTGCCACCTAGTGGTTTTAATAGGTTACTGTATTTTTCAAATCATATGTCTGCATTTGCTTTAAGTCCGGTGGTACTTTAGACGTTTTGTTAAGTATAAATTTAAATCAATAACAAGGAGGCGGAGCTTGACCGCCGAGCCGTGCAGTCGCATCTGCCACGAGCTCTGATCCGGCGGGCAGAACCCGGGGTAAAAGCGACGGCTAACAAGCCCACAAAAATCAGAGGGTGCACCACCCACGCTGAGGGTGCCCCACTGAGTAATCCGACACCACCCCGGTACCTGTCGACGCTGGGAAAGCGGAGTTCCACATGCGGCCTACTGGGGCTGAAGCAGGGGGGAGGCGGCCGCTCCCCTCGGCGCAAGAACCCACAAGCTACTACAACTCAGCATACCCCCCCCCCTATGGACCGGTGGGGGACATCCCGGTCCCCAAAGCATATACAGACCAGCATGGAACAAGACCACACCAACCACACCAAATGGTGGGGCAACAGACCGAAGAGGTACAAACAAAATGGCCGACCAACCTGCACAGAGCAGGCGGAGCACCTGCACAAGGGCACATATGTCCCCTATGACAATATTTGACCGGACCTGCGCTGGTCTCAGGGCAGCACTGCAAAACCGGGGAGCAACTCACCGCCAGGCTGACCGGAAGGTGGCCTCATGGTTGCGACGCAGGTACTACATACCGGTACCCCAAGCATCCAAGATGGCCGTCAGGCAAAACCGATACCGAAAGGCATCGAGAAGGGACACACGCTCTCACCCGCCCACAAGCAAAGCCAAGATCTCCAATCCAACAACGACGCACACTACTAAAATATCTGACCTAAATCCCGGTTACCAGCACAACACCACCGCCACCCCTCAACCGATACTGCAACTCAAGTGAAGGGGAAAAGGCACACCACAAAGAGACGGCCTGGAGCTCAACCCTGAAATAGAGCCAACGGGCCCCGCGAATGCAATGACGTGGAGAATAGCAACAGCCGGCTGATCATACCAGCGCTGGGCATAGGATGAAGTGCCTACCACAATGCCTCAAACGGGTGAAGGGAATGCTGGGAGCACACGATCCAGCTAAGCACCCGGACCCTGAAGCATAACTCAAGCCACGAATGGACTAAGCTCATAAGATCTCATGGACTGGTGGTAATAACACTAAAACCTTAGGTGAAAAAAGTTCCTGATAGTCCTATGGACACTGAAAATTGATAAATCAGTTAACACCCAAGCTTAGAAAATGTAAGGATGCTACTTTGAGTACTAGGCTGAACATAGCAATGTGCCACAGGGCAATCATGTCTAGAAAGAATTAAGATATTAGGGTATAATATAGGCAAATGATAGCAATGTTTTATATTAAGATGCCTCATCACATAAATACCCACAGCATAAAGTTTATATGCACTATGTCATAACTAGATACTGCTCTGCTACAAAACATGCTCACACCATATCGATTCTAGCATAGGCGAACCAGCACAGTTAAGCACCTAGCATCTTTATCTTACTCTTCCTTACTCTATCTCATTTAAACCTACTATGTTGTAACAGTTTAGTTAAGCTTGCAAAACATACAAAAATGTGCAAATTGTCATGCCACTGTTTCTCTTTTATGAAGCTTGAAATACGCTGTTGTGGCGTCCGTTGAAATCTTGTAACCATCTGCACAACCCAAAATAAAGAATAAAAAAATAAAAAAAAATCAATAACAAATCTGTTATTAAATAACAGCTTGAGTTGCTTTTGGTTGATAATATATAAAATACATTTTAAAAAACTGCTCTGTCACCATCTGTGGACTTTGAAGAATTTCCAAAGGCCCCCAACAATGACATCGCCGCTGAGGTCCGGATGGCTGGGGAGGAACCAGTCAAAGGTGAGTTCTACTTTACCTGGACCTCACGGTGCCACCATCTTCTTCTGGGCCGGTCCTTGCATGGTCTACGGAGGATCCCGCCAGGGCCGTTTGAAGGAATTTGGGGGCCTCAAGCAAAATGGACATGGAAAGTGCTGCCCAAGGCAAATGCCTTGTTTGCCTCACAGCTAATATGTCCCTGGTCGTTGCTTGGTTTGCTTGCCTTGTCACGACGGGCCTGGATCCCACTACACAGCTGGATCCTCCATAGATAAAGCCGATTCCCTGCAGCCATTACTTGGGGTGGGGAACTGCGGCTACGGGGGTTTGACACTTTTGGACAGTGGTAGCTCCGCCTATTGTTTAAAGGTTTGCAGGCTGAGGAGAAATACCTTGACAAAGTAGATCCTAGTTTGTCTCTGTGTTTTTCTTGACTGGATTGTAATTTCAGTGAAAAAACAACACAGCCATAATGAGAATTTCATAAAGATTCTAGCTGTATTAAAAACTCATTTTTCAGGTGGGAATAACAGCGCAGCTTTAAACAAACCTGGATGTAAATTGTAAAGACATGTTAAATGCACTCCACAGGTAAAGGAAAGCAGAATTATTTAAGCATACTATGTGCAGTGACCGGATATATTAACTGTTAGATGTACAATACTACCCCGAACACAGAATCTTAACTGCAGTTATAGCTTAGTTAATTAATGTGCTAACTGTCAAGCCAATGAGAAACACAGAGGAGATATCTCTTTATTTGAGTAATATTAACATTATTATCCGCTTTAATACTCTAATCACGATAATTCCTACAGTGTGCTGTAATGGTTATGAGACCAGAGGTCCCATGCCACCATTTGCAGGTGATGTGGCTAACTGTTTCTGAACAGGTGGACACTTACCCTGCTCTGTCAATGCTTCTTTCTGGTCTAAGTTGGTCTTATAAAGCAGACATTTATAGTTTGACATAATCGCACAACCAGTGTGAGCTGGCGGTTCTCAGGTACGGTATGAGTTGGGATGATAATGTGGGAATATAAAAGACTGGAAGGGCTGCAGGCACCCAACACTGTAGGGTAAGTGTCAAAACATTCAGAAATGGGTTGGTAGATTACTGGTGAACCACCTTCACGAGAATGAGAAACAGTGGGACCATTGGTTATGGTGGGGCTACCGCCTGACTCCTCTCAGAAGATGAAGATTGGAAAGTGAAATATTATTATCAAAGCCTGCATCTATCAGATAGCAGGATGGGATTTTACACAATGACCATTTCAGGCACAGCAACCCTTCCAGGGCTTAAAACCTGCTAATCTGGAAAGTAACCACAGTTAATGCACTCAAGCAATGTGCTGTAACTCATCAATCAGAATCTCAAGGTTTAATTCTCACTAATACCAAATTCGCTGCCATAGTGTACACAATGATAGTGATAGTGTTAGTGATGTACACAATGATAGTGATAGTTTTTATGATGTACACAATGATATGGATAGTTTTAGTGATGTACACAATGATAGTGATAGTTTTAGTGATGTACACAATGATAGTGATAGTGTTAGTGATGTACACAATGATAGTGATAGTTTTAGGGATGTACACAATGATAGTGATAGTTTTTATGATGTAAACAATGATAGTGGCAGTTTTAGTGATGTACACAATGATAGTGATAGTTTTAGGGATGTACACAATGATAGTGATAGTTTTTATGATGTACACAATGATAGGGGTAGTTTTAGTGATGTAAACTATGAAAGTGATAGTGTTAGTGATGTACACAATGATAGGGATAGGTTTAGTGATGTACACAATGATAATGGTAGTTTTAGTGATGTACAAAATGATAGCACAATGACAGTGATAGTGTTAGTGATGTACACAATGATAGTGTTAGTGATGTACACTATGCTAGTGTTAGTGATGTACACAATGATAGTGATAGGTTTAGTGATGTACACAATGATAGTGATAGTGTTAGTGATGTACACAGTGATAGTGTTAGTGATGTACACAATGATAGTGTTAGTGATGTACACTGTGCTAGTGTTAGTGATGTACACAATGATAGTGATAGGTTTAGTAATGTACACAATGAGAGTGATAGTTTTAGTGATGTACACAATGATAGTGATAGTTTAAGTGATGTACACGATAGTGATAGTGATGTACACAATGATAGTGATAGTTTAAGTGATGTACACGACAGTGATAGTGATAGTGATATACACAATGATAGTGATAGGTTTAGTGATGTATGCAATGATAGTGATAGTTGTTGTGATGTACACAATGATAGTGATAGTGCTAGTAATGTACATAATGATAGTGATAGTTTTAGTGATGTATACAATGATAGTGATAGTGCTAGTGATGTACACAATGATAGTGATAGGGTTAGTGATGTACACAATGATGATGATAGTTTTAGTGATGTACACGATAGTGATAGTTTTAATGATGTACACGATGGTGATAGTGTTAATGATGTACACGATAGTGATAGGTTTTGTGATGTACACAATGATGGTGATAGTATTAGTGATGTACACAGTGATGTACACAATGATAGTGATAGTGTTAGTGATGTACACGATAGTGATAGTGATGTACACAATGATAGTGATAGGTTTAGTGACGTACACAATGATAGTGATAGTTTTAGGGATGTACACAATTATAGTGATAGTGTTAGTGATGTACACAATGATAGTGATACTGTTAGTGATGTACACAATGATAGTGATAGTGTTAGTGAAGTACACAATAGTGATAGTGATAGGTTTAGTGACATACACAATGAAAGTGATAGTTTTAGGGATGTACACAATTATAGTGATAGTGTTAGTGATGTACACAATGATAGTGATAGTTTTAGTGATGAGCACAATGATAGTTATAGTTTTAGTTATGTACACAATAATAGTGATAGTGTTAGTGAAGTACACAATAGTGATAGTGATAGGTTTAGTGACATACACAATGAAAGTGATAGTTTTAGGGATGTACACAATTATAGTGATAGTGTTAGTGATGTACACAATGATAGTGATAGTTTTAGTGATGTGCACAATGATAGTGATAGTTTTAGTGATGTACACAATTATAGTGATAGTGTTAGTGATGTACACAATGATAGTGATAGTTTTAGTGATGTACAAAATGATAGTGATAGTGCTAGTGATGTACACAATGATAGTGATAGGGTTAGTGATGTACACAATGATGATGATAGTTTTAGTGATGTACACGATAGTGATAGTTTTAATGATGTACACGATAGTGATAGTGTTAATGATGTACACGATAGTGATAGGTTTTGTGATGTGCACAATGATGGTGATAGTATTAGTGATGTACACAATGATAGTGATAGGTTTAGTGATGTACACAATGATAGTGATAGTGATAGTGTTAGTGATGTACACGATAGTGATAGTGCTAGTGATGTACACAATGATAGTGATAGATTTAGTGACATATACAATGATAGTGATAGTTTTAGGGATGTACACAATTATAGTGATAGTGTTAGTGATGTACACAATGATGATGCTAGTTTTAGTGATGTACACAATAGTGATAGTTTTAATGATGTACACGATAGTGATAGTGTTAATGATGTACACGATAGTGATAGGTTTTGTGATGTACACAATGATGGTGATAGTATTAGTGATGTACACAATGATAGTGATAGGTTTAGTGATGTACACGATAGTGATAGTGCTAGTGATATACACAATGAAAGTGATAGATTTAGTGACATACACAATGATAGTGATAGTTTTAGGGATGTACACAATTATAGTGATAGTGTTAGTGATGTACACAATGATAGTGATAGGTTTTGTGATCTACACAATTATAGTGATAGTGTTAGTGATGTACATAATGATAGTGATAGGTTTTGTGATCTACACAATGATAGTGATAGTGTTATTGATGTGCACAATGATAGTGATAGTTTTAGTTATGTACACAATGATAGTGATAGTGAAGTACACAATAGTGATAGTGATAGGTTTAGTGACATAGACAATGAAAGTGATAGTTTTAGTGATGTACACAATGATAGTGATAGTTTTAGGGATGTACACAATGATAGTGATAGTGTTAGTGATGTACACAATGATAGCGATAGTGTTAGTTATGTACACAATGATCTGTCCACATCCTCCCTGGGGCTACAGTAACATTATTAGCAGGGTTGTCTATAGAGGAAAGTAGTGTGACTGGTTTCTGTGTCAGTCAATCTCCCTAATTACGTGTTTTGTAGGTCTGGCTCAGAATATTCCATTCCAGGTGTCTGCACAATGGGCTACATACTTTTTAGTTCTCTGTTTACAGGTACATAAAACAACACATTTGTATAGATATTGTGAAAGTTCATGTTGCAATGTAGATTAAGGGTAACATGCAATCTGATACATTTTACATTCAACATATGAGATCAGCGGGTGCCAAAATACATAAAAAAAATTCATAATATTAGATTTTCGAAGGCTGTGAGTTGGTTATCCTTAAATAATAAAGAAAAACTGGACACCCCAAACCCAAAGTTAGCCATCTCTGTCCTACATCAAGAGTTCTCAGGATTTAAAATGATTTGTGGGGAAAAGGACTATCTGTACATAAAAATCAGATTCAGGTAACATTAAAAGAATTACAAACACACGTCTTTCGATGCATCTCGTCTTGCTCTGTTTTTGCCATTTCCCTTCCTGAAACTAGCATTAGATACCAGCGGTATTGGGCACTATGATGGCAGTATAGCTCCGTGTGTGTTAATAATAAACAGCGCAATCCACAGACAGCAGGATCTAGTTAACGATCACTGCTGGATTAGTCGCGGTTCACTTCGTGGCAGTAATACTGAGTGGAATATTAGTTATTGATGCTCTCGGAGTCCGTGGAACCTTATTCTGCGTTTGGAGCATTTGAGACAGACCTTCAAGATGGATCTGGTAACACTTCACCAAGTTTGTCAATGTCAAAAAACGTAGACATACCTGGTCCATCTGCATAGAATAACACAAAATGCATGAAGATTCATATTACAAGACATTATCAGATCCTGAATGAAACAACTGTATATGACAAAATTCCAAACATACCAACGGCATGTGCCATCAGATCCCAAACATACTAACTGCATGTGCCATCACCTCCCAAACATACCAACGGCATGTGCCATCACCTCCTAAACATACCAACGGCATGTGCCATCACCTTCTTAACATACCAACGGCATGTGCCATCACCTCCCAAACATACTAACTGCATGTGCCATCAGATCCCAAACATACTAACTGCATGTGCCATCACCTCCCAAACATACTAACTGCATGTGCCATCAGATCCCAAATACATGAGCTGTGTAAATGAGGCCTCATGACGAATATTTTATCCTAAATTGAATATTTAGTTGCATTATAGAATGGGTTGTATACCACACTCAGTAAAATATTTACCTCATCAGATATTGATTGACTAAGAACTTCATTCCATCTTTTTGTCCCATTCTGATACATTTTTGCCCCAAGAAAGAGTTCGAATTTCTTGGACCAACTGCTGATCTCCTGAAGAAAGGAGAGCACAATACAGTCAAACATGTAGTTAAAGCCGTTATTTGCATAGCTCGAAGGAGAGAATAGAGAGTAGTAGACTTGTACATAGAGAGAAAACGTGACTCAGCTCAACCAATTTTTCCAAAAATAAAAAAAACTTTGAGACATCGAATTTCAGCTAAAAGACAGTTTGGCTCAGGAACCGAATCAGAAGAGAAAAAAAAAACCAGGAAAATTGGCCATTCAGTGTGTGCAAAATCTAAACATAATATGATGCTGTGTATCAATTTTATAGTAAGCGGACGGGAACATTTCCCTGCCATTTGGTTCTCAGATCAAATGATAAAAGGTAAACGACAAAATGATAAAAAGATGACCAGTTTACAAATAATCTATGTTTATATATTTAAGGGGTTAAAATCTACATTTTGTGGCGGTGCTCCAACCATCAGTCACCTTATTTCCCCATCAATCATCACTTTTGAATTAAACGTGCTCGGCATTGCACGCTTCTGATGTTCTGTGACTCGGGTACAGTTCAGCTCAGAGTTCGGGAATTCGGGAACAATAACAAATAATCCCAAATCCAGCCAAATTAAAGTTTGGTCTGAAACAAATCTTCAAGTCTGACTATCAAGCAATTAATATGTACACGTTAGAAAATAGCAGAGGGGAATAATTTTTTAGCAGCGAAATTTTTGTCCCTGCTTTGCAATCTAAATAATACATTGGAGTTTTTTCCTCAAATGAATATTAACTTAAAATCCATTTGTGAACTTTACCTGTAGAGTATTTTCCAGATTACTCGAGTCCTTCTTATAGATCTCCAGCTCACTGCCTATCCTCGCGCTTTCCGCACTCAGGACCTAAACAGTGGATGCAATGTGAGTGAGACAGGAGAAGGACCAACAACAAAAACATCTGTAACATCATAATGGATTTAATTTCTCCATCATTTTGTCTGAACAAAAGGAAACCAACTAAAATGATGTGATGCGAACAAACATACGCAAAAGATTAATTATTTGGAAAAATGTGATAACCTGCTTGACTTTCCCTGGTACCCAACCTGGTGACTTGTCGTTCACCTTTTGAATTTGGAGATGTTTTCTGATGTCAGCTTGGCTGTCACATTCCATATTGTGCACGGACTCCTGGAGAGATAGTGACTCTGCAAGCCACATCTTTAACAGCCTACTCCGGCACAACCAGGCCTCAAACTGCCCCTGGGATGCCTTCAGTAAGTAAAGTCTGCAAAAAGGAGGGTGTAGAGAGGCTAATACAATTGTCCCAATGCAGAAGGAAAGACAGAATCATGATAAAAGATGCTTAGTAAGAGTGTCACCTCTTTCATTAAAGGAACGTTATTGGCATCAAAACAACTTTAGGGTAATGATGAAGCAGATTTAGTGTATAAAACATGGTACTGCAGTCTCACTGCTCAATGCTCTACCATTTAATGTACTTTAGAACGTTTTTATCTCCTGCTCTGTAAATTAAACTGTAATCACACACAGGGGGCTCCTGCATGGTCTGGAATGCGATTAAAAGAGCAGGAGATACAAAATTCTAAATTAAACAGAATGTGCAATACAGGAAGTGGAAACATTACAGCTCACTTTACAGGAAGTGTTTAGGAAGACTGTGTAAGTCACATGCAGGGAAATGTAACAAGAGCTGTATAAACAAAGTGATTAAACTCCTAAATGGCAGAGAATTGAGCAGTGAGGCAGTGAGCAGTGAGGCTGCCCGTCGGAAAGGATTAACCAATCCAATCTCTTTACAGTCTTCTCAATGTCTATGAGACTCACCTTAAGTCGATGTAAGCCTTTGTGTGTTCAAACTTAGCGAGTAGACGGTGGATCCTATATTTTATATATACATCAAGAACCGGACCATAGAAAAAGCGAGTCTTCAATGATTCCATCACAATCTGGATCTTCTGAAGTTCTTTATTAGCTCTCTGCAAAATGACACAAACAAAGGCGCCATAAGACGCAGTGATGCAAAACCACCCAATTCACATAGAAATAAATAGGCATAAAATATAGAAATATTTTATAAAAATCCATGCTCTAATTGTCCAGCAATAATTTGCATGGAATAAATTCTGGATATAACATTTGCTTTGCTCTTTTTGGGGAAGATGTATATCTTTTGGTTAGTCTCGAATTTTATTACATAATTGTCTTTAATAGAAGGAGACAGCAAGCTCCTGATGGTTACCTGCAGATTTTGAATATGTTCCTGCAGTGATGGATGTCTCTCTGTGACGCTATCCAGTTCCACCAAAAAGCCATCAAAAAGTGTCAAAAACTTCTCTGCATTTTCAATGCTGGTACCAACAGATGATGACCGGTTCTTGCTGGTTTAAGAATAATAAGGATAATAATAATAATATTAATGAAATAATAAATGAAGCAAATATTTTCTACCACAATGAATTCCAGGTTAGAGAAGGTGAATCACTGTCCTATAAGGGGTTTAATCCCTTGACCATATAATGGAAAACAATTGATGTTGTGAAACACCTGTGTTAATAGAATATAACTTTTAATGAAATAGTAAAATATTGTCTAACAACTGTATATAATAATACAGCAATAAGGTACTCTAGAGTATCAATACAAAAGAAAAAAATACACATAAAAAAGAAAATGGAACTGAAAAATTCACACATTAAAAATGTCTTGTCATGTGACAAGTTGTAACACATGGAACTGGAAATATAAAGCAGAAATGCCCTAAGGGCTGGGTGCCAGTACATGTGTTAAAAAAGAAGGTATACTGGAATGCAGCTACCCAATGATGTGGATAAAGTGTTATACAGGACCACGTAAATATCATTTGCTGCAGTGTGATCAACTCTCTTCCTAGTGGTTCTGACTGCAAAGAATACTAAAACTAGCAAATCACTTTGGCTAATTTTTTACTAATATAGCTATCATCTTACTCACGCACCCTCTCAGTTATCCTATACACAGATTGACAGTCAACGGACTGTTGGTTCACGTTATATTGCTTTCTGTTGCATGTACATGTGCAAATAGGTGTTTAGTAGACGTCTAGCCCATATAGTTTTCTTTGCACCATCGAGTGATAGTGTGTCGGTACTTAACATCAGAACCACCAGGTCAATCACACTGCAGCAAATTTTATTTACGTGGTCCTGTATGCCACTTTATCCACATCGGGTAACTCCGTGGTTGGTGCAGGGCCAGTCATATTGAGCAGGAAACTGCCCACTGGAAGCTGGTTACTGTGACGTTACCTGGAGACCCTTAGACACTACGAAGAGTTGTCGTGTTTCGGTTAAATCATTTGTCACTGAGTGTGTAGTTCTCTGTGTCATAAAAAGTTTTGAAGCTCAGTTCCCGTATTTAGACAGCACTTTGACTCAGTGGTAAAACATGTCACTTGATGGTTATCTCCCCGGAATGTAGATGTTTTAGACATTTTTCATTTGTAACCTTCTAGAAGTTTGACAGGTAATTGCTCACACCCAGAATACTCATTGCTGAAATAACTCTCGATTGAGTTTAAGGTAGAAGTTGGTTGCGGGAAACCAATGATCCCATTCAGACATTTCCCAGCCGACCTACAGCCCATCAAACACTCAATTCATGCAGACACCATCATAGACCACTAACTCACAGCTACCTACTCTGTGTTGGCTCCAGGGGTTGTTCCTGTCGCATGCTTTATCTGCTGGAAAAACAAAGAACAAACATATAATATCTGGAAAGGCTCACACGAAAGATGAAATATTCAAATATCTTACCCTCAGCTAGGACTTGAGGAGGCTGGCGTGAGGCCTCCTTTATTTACCAATGATACCCAGCCCAGACAGGAGACACGCAAAAAAGAGCCTCAACTCAAAGAGTACATTTGAAAAAATCAAAACAATTACAATTAAGGTCATTGTTATTAGCGTCTGTCAGTAAGGGAGGCAGCATAGAGACTCCTAGCAGGACCCCGGTAAGCTGTCAGAACGTTCTTAACATTCTGGTCTGACTGCTTACTCTGGAAGGGCAAACAGGGTACTCCTGGCACCATAACCACGGGGTCACATGTTTAGACTGAAAGAAAAGAGATTTAGTCTAAGGAAAAGGAAAGGGTTTCAGTAAGAACAGTAAGGATGTGGAATTCTCCGCCTGAAGTGGTGGTTTTATTAGAGTCCATACAGATGTTAAAACAGCAACTAGATGCATACTTGCAAAAACATAATATTAAAAGATTATTTTTTTTTAGTTGTAGGGTAATGACTTCTTGATCCAAGGATAAATATGACTGTCATTCTGGGGTCAAGAGAGAATTTTTCCTAATTTGTTGCAAAATTGGAGTGCTTCAAACTGTTTTTTTTTGCCTTCTTTTGGATTAACAGCAAAAAACAAATGTGAGGAAGGCTGAACTTGATGGACACAAGTCTCTTTTCAGCCTATGTAACTATGTAACTGAAAATAGGAATTCATAGAGCAATGACCCACAGCCAGTAGGAACTCATCAAGCATTGACCCACAGCCAATAGGAACTCATGGAGCAGTGACCCACAGCCAATAGGAACTCATTGAGCAGTGACCCACAGCCAATAGGAACTCATGGAGTAGTGACCCACAGCCAGTAGGTAGTTCTGGATCGCTGAATGCTTTATTCTAGTTGAATTTTATGTATCTCTTTCATAAATAAACACTTTAGAGTTTATTCATTTATTTCCAAACTGAAATCCAAATATCCAAGCTGAGATTATAAGTGAGAATTTTTCCCAAACAGCACTTTTAGCGTTTATTTTGCAATTCTGATTTAGTTTTTTAGTGAAGACTATCAGGGAATTGGCAGTTTTTCCAATCTAGCAATTTCTGCCTAAGTTTCGATATTTGGTTTTCAATCACTACAAGTTACAGTTGAGTGAATATGTGGCTTTTTATAACAACTTTAATGATTTTTTTAATTAGAAACAATGAACCCATAACCCTCTCACTTCCAAAAGGGCCTAAAATGTACTGAAATGGTCACGTACCTTTGCTTGAACTCGATCAGATTCCTCCAGTTTCTTCAAACAGAAGACACTGAGAATCCAAAGAATTGACACGGAACACAGCGATGAAAATAAACTGTCAATCGAGCTAATGAAGATCAGAAAATACTCCATTTAATCCCTGATTCACCATCCATCAATTCTTATTGATGATCGGACCTTTTGGCTGATGTGACCACAGGATTTGGCTGAATTTCTTTGGCATGGCTGGTCTCTGTGTCTGATCCAGACCCCATATTTAGGCTGAATTCTTTTGGTTGTAACTTTGTGACTTCAGATGCTGTCTGAGCAAATCCTGCCTTTAATACAACTTTTTACCAGAGTCTAACAATTCCACCTATGTGGCATTTCAAGAAAATCAAGCTTGTCATTACTTTAGAAAGCCAATGCTTGCAGCGCATGTTAAAACTAGAGATACCATCAATGTCATTAGAAATCCTATAAACTCTCTGTGCCCTCAGGTGACATTAGGATAATATAAGGCAATCTCTATACAATCTCCTACTGGGCCACAAGGACTCGCCATAATTCATCAACACCAGGACACTGGTATACGGCTGGGCAATGGGCCATCACAGGATTTATTTGATAAAGTGGTTCTTGTGGTGAATAATAGACTTGGCGATTCCTTTCGGATCACACAGCAGTCCAGGCGCATTTTGGCCAATCAGGTGTTCAGCAGATTTTCAAAAATTCAGAGACAAGATGTAACTGAATTACGGACTAACCAATGTCAAACCTGTTCTTGGGGGTCAACATTCTAAATTCCGCCTGTGGCGCGACAAAAAAAAAAATGATTGATGGAAAAGAAAGATGAATGATAGTTAAGAGACAGTCACTAAATGTTAAATTTACTCACAGATCAAGTGAGAATTAACCTATAGAGGGGAAATGAGTAGCTATAAATATATAAATATTTACATTTGTATTTATTTTTATACAAATATATAATTTTATTTATTTTTACTGTTCCTCCTGTTTTTACCTGTATTTATTACAGCAAACCAAATGGTGGGGAATGTTCCTGTTAGTGTACAGCAGAATATATTTACAATATACTCTGATAAATGGCAGAGCAGGGACAGTTGGGGACAGAGGAGCGAATGTGCTGTATTACTTTTTATGGTTTTAAAAGGAGTTTTTAAACGTGAACTTACTGGCGCTTAAGGGAGTTGTTTTAGTTTATTATACAGACATTATTACTCTATGTTTAGGTTTTTTTTCTTATATTAAGGAATCAGGTTGTGGATAAGGGATTTCTTTGCCAAGTAAGTGCCACCGAATTTTATTTTTTTGTTTACTTATTTACACTATGAGTGAATACTTGTTAATAAGGGGAATCACTCTCCTCTGTCAAGGCAGGCATTATTCTAGGGCAGGGTTTCCCAATTAAATTTTCCCTTGGAAACCCCCCAAAAAATGTGTGCCGTTGAGTAGCGCAAACCTTTCAATGAGCAGAGTGTAATGTTTTCTTTTGCTGGCAAATTCCATTTATATGGTTTAATTGTTGACAATTGTATTCGGATGTCTGCAGTTGCGTCAAGTCGATTTCGATACTTTGTTTTTGTTGCAGAGTAAATTGAGAATCCACTCTCACATAAGTACGTGCTAGCAAATGGCAACAGAACTTTGATTGCCCGCTTAGACAATTCTGGGTATTCTTCGCGTAAATCACCCCAAAAAGCAATAAGCAAAACTTCTTAAAATTTTTGGCTTAGTTGACGGTCAGAAGTTATAGCGATCAGATTCTCAAATTCTACATCAGAACAATTGGCTGGCTTGTGTTTTATGAATGGATTTTGAACCCACTCATTATTGTTTTCATTCAAGAATGGAAAATACTGATTAATAGATGTGATTAAATGGCGAAAATGATCTACAATTTCATTGTGAATTTAATCTTCAAGTTCAATTTCTGATTCTTCAAGAAAATCCTTAAGTGTTGGCAGAGTTCAAATTATTTTGCTCAACAGATGAGGTCCAAAACTGCAGCTTACGAGACAGTGAAAACATTTTATCTCTTGCATTAAAAATATTAGTGTTTTTTCCTTGGAGTGATAAACATACCTCATTTAATTTTGTGAATATGTCTGCAAGATAGGCTACTTTGGAGAACCACAGAGTGTTTGTTAATCGATCAGAAAATACAAATTTATGATCTTGGAAATATGCAACAACTATTGACGCGATTCAAACATTCTAGCAAGGACTTTAGCTTGTGATAGCCAACTGACTGAGAGTGGTGACTACCAAATCTTCACATATCATTTTAAATAGTTGTGACTGTAATGGTCGACTTTTTATAAAATTAATAATCTGGACCGATTCATCTAGCAAGTGAAATTGAAATATTTTTAGCTATGAGTGCATGTCTGTGAAGAACACATTGAGAACTGGTGCCTTTTTTTTTTGCTACATTTCTTATTCGTGTCACAGCGTCTGCCAATTTCCCAACCATTGCTTTGGTACCATCACTGCACACATCTACACATTTGTCACAATTTATACTGTGTGCGCTCATGAATTTATGGATACAGTTAAAGATGTTCTCACCAGCGGTATGAGTTTTCAAAGTTTCATACAGAAGAAAGTCTTCTTTAATCTGTATGTCAAAATTATATCTATCAAAAACCAACAAAATTGAAAATCCTGCAACATCTGTGGACTCGTCTAATTGCAGTGAGTACCCATCACGTTGATGCAGTCCAGAAATTAGTTCAATATGGATGTCATCAGCAAGATCATGAATACGGTGCAAAACTGTGTTGCTGGAAAGTGGCACAGCTTCAATTTTTTTTACTTAAAACTTCTCACTTAAAATACACGACACTATTTCTTTTGCGCATGTTTCTATTATTAGTGATTCCCCAATTGAGTGTGCTTCTCCGTCAAGTGCTATGCGGTAGCTCACTCTGTAAGAAGCCTCTGTGGCTTTTTCATTAGCATTTTGAAATTTTTTGCTTATAAACGGTTTAGTCTTCTGATACTCCTGAAGCTTTCGCTTAAAAAGGCAATGTGTATCTTTGTACTCTGCGTGGTTTTTCTCAAAATGACGACATAATTTAGCAGGTGCTAATGAACTGTTTGGCAATATTTTTTTGCCAAGTACGCATTGTGGTTCAGGACAATCTTCATTTCTGGCACTTGTGAATCCAAATGACAAGTAGCTATCATCATATTTTCTTTTCTTTGTTTGAGAAGAAGATTGGCCAGCATTGTGTGCTTTCCTTTTTTGACTTGTCACTTGTCTCTGCTATTTGAGGAACAGAAGATACAACTATTTCGGGCATGTTTTCTGTATTTTTAGTTTTATCTTCTTTCTCAGCTTCTATAAGTGTCGAACAGCTAGAAGTAGTGATAATGTTTCTCTGACTAGCTCCCGGCTTTAACCAGCTTTCCAAATTCATGGTTGTTTATTGGTTAAAAAAACTAAAAAAACTTTAAAAAAATACACATCTCACAACCTGACTGAAAAGGGTGATGATTTTGATAACGCTCTTAGAAAGAACGGAACTTAAGCAGGATTTTTGAGTTAGACTTGGAGCAAAAAGATTTGAACACTTTGAAAAATACAGTCAACAGTTTTTTGCCCCTTACAGACTCTTTCAATGCCCCTGACAGAGCCTTTTAATGTCCATAACAGAGATTTTTTTTTTTTATTATTCTTTATTTTATTTGTGCATAGAGTTAACAAGCAGTTTTGCACTGCCACGACAGCTGGTGGAAACATGCGGTAACAGTAGTGTGGCATCAGAAACACTGTACATTTTTATAGAAACAAGATTAAGTCACTATTAGGTGAGTCTTGCCCAGTTTTGTGATGGAAGTCATAGTAGGTAATGCACATTGTGTATAAATTGACATGAGGACTATTTTCATCTTAAGTAGTTATGAGTGTAGGTGCGATCGTGCATGCAGCGGAGTTGGGTAGCAGTGTATGGAAGCAGGCTGCTTTACAGGTCTAACTGTTAGAGGCAAGACCCAGTCAAAGTATTCTCATAACTAAACTTGCTAGGCATAGGGAAGGTTAGAGAAAGAAAAATACGAAATAAACTAAACTAAAAAAAATACGAAATAGCTAGTGCCAAATAAGCAGGTACCACTGGGTTTTTGTGTATTGTCATAGTTTGCAAGCATATAATCAGTCTAATCAAACTAACATAGCTGTAGCATGGCGGGTTAATATCAGCTAGACCACCACACAGTTTCATGTGCCCCCTAGCCAATGCCCACTGATGGGGAGTCTTTGTGTCCCTTATTGTTGATCTTCAGTGTTAAGCCCCCCCCATGGTGCCCAAACCGGCAGAGTCCGCTGTGGTCCTCACCGGCACCTGGACACTGTCAGCAGGCAGAGTTTGCATCCGCGGGGTCTTGTCTCTGCTCCCATATGTGTAAGCAGTTGGAGTCTGCCATTCATGTCGGTCACGCTGAGGCTGATGGAGCCTTGTTTTGCAGCTGCGGTTAGTCGGGTGCTTGCGATGCAGTCTAGCAGTTTGCCGCCGGCTCCTGTGCTGCGCCGCCCGGGGAGCACGTGGTGGAGTCAAGTTGGGTCGGTTACACGCTGCAGGACCGCTTCGAGGTGCCGACGCATTTTCAGGAGTTGAGGTAGGTTGTTTGCCATGTAGCTGTGCCCAGAAGCGCTCACAGATGCGGTCAAACGCTAGGAGTATTGGTTCAACTGAGGTTCATGGCAAAGGGGTCTGGTGGAGTGGCCATCTTGTCGAGTGAAGCCTCGTGTCACATAGGCGCGGGAAAGCAGTAAGTCCTGGCTAGGCGGTCGGGTCAGAGCGCCAGTGAGGACCGGGATAACCCCCACCGGTGGGAGGGTAGAAACAGGGCTCAGCTTCCACAAGCTCCCACTCAAGGCCGGGGATCGGCCGTTTCCCCGCTCTCAAGTGCAGATTCAGGCCGCAGACCTGTCAGTCTTCTGCTGTGTCCGCCAGCTGCAGGCAGGATTTAAGCCAGAGTGTTGGCAGATTATTCCTCAAGATTAGAGGCAAGCTTTGCCCCAGATTATAGAACAAAAATTTCCAATTTAGGCTTCGTAAGTGATTTTCCCTGAGGAGCTCCAGCAGCATGCGACCTACTCGGTTGGCTGTCAGGCCCCGCCCCCCTAACAGAGAATTTTAATGCCCCTGAGGCTATGTCGCTACCTAACAGAGCTTTCTATGTTGCTACCTAACAGAGCTTTAACTATCAGCTCCACTCTCTATCACTCCTCTACCACGAGTGATAGAAAATGGCTGACAGCTGGATGGGCTCTCTCTTGGACAAGCTAAGTGGCTGGCTGATGGCAGGGTGGGCTCTGGCGGCAAGGTAGGCTTAAGATCATGCTTCCGCGATTTCTCCTGTTTCCAACCTTCTGGGAACAGCAGGTAGCGGCAGCCATCTTGGATGTGGAAAAATGCAGCGGAACCCCAATTGTGTTCTTGGGAAACCCTAGGGTTCTGCAGAACACCAATTGGGAAATGCTGTTCTAGGGCAAGGGTGCCCAAAAGGTAGATCTACAGATGTTGCAGAACTACAACTCCCTTGATGCTTTGCATACCTTTAACATGCCTTTAGAATGACAAAGCATCACGGAAGCTGTAGTTTCAAAACACCCTTTTCGGTACCCCTGTTCTAAGGGATTGCTTCCGGTCCAAAGGATTGAATCTTTCTATGCTTGGTAATGAGTGGCAATGCAATCTATGTCTGCACAGCAAAACAATTCTTTATGGAGCCAGACATAGCATAGATGGAAAATCTGTGACCATATTAAAAAAATAAAAGATAAGTACAGATTATAGCCAAGTCCTGGTGTACTTACTGATATTTCTAGCTCTTGACCGCAGCTAGATCAAGCCACCTGTGTCCACATGGATAATATTTCTGAAGTGTGACCACAGCTAGATCCTATTGTCCGTCTACACGGCTCGTACCTCTGCCCCTAGTCAAAGCACTGGATGTTTGTTTTTTTTTTGGTTCATTCTGGCAGCTTTCCATGGGTGAAGAATTAGACAATGTATGGTGTGATCAGCAATTAGCAACTGCTTCCTCTGGAGGTTGTGGTTCCACCAAAAACTTTCAACACCAAAGTCATTGTTTCCCAATTCCTTACTTTCTCCATAAGGTAGTCCAGCTGGTGAGCAGGTTCATTGAAAGGGGGGGGAGGGAGGTGGGGATAAGATTTGTTACTACAAACTGTCCTCTCACACAGTCATTTAACTGGAAATATCTAGAATGAGACTAAACATTTGTGACTTTCTTAACCCCTTCCCTTCCAAGTTCATTTGCATAGACTAAAATTCAAAACTGCACTCTGTACACAAACTATTGTTCAATCCCAAGCTTACTCATAGATTTAAAACAATTGTTCCACAAATTAAATAATTAATGTATTTTGCCTTTTTGTGCCAGAAATTATAGCAGCATAGGCAGCATTTAGCATGTTATACCCTCTGACAAAAACAGAGGAAAAGAACTTGCCCTGCACAAATGAAGACATAAGACAACTGCAAACAGTGAGAACGTTTCCTTTTTAACGGTGTATATTGGGATTGTAATAAATGATAGGTGCACAACTAGACCATCTGGTTACTACTCTGTGTCTTCGAAAGAGACCAAGCAGGAACAGAACAGGAAATACTAGAAATAGTCAGAAACAGCCTGTGCTTCCCGGACACACATTTTTTGTGACAACAGGCAAACAGCCAGACAGGTTCTTGTCTTTACCACATTTTCTGATTTTTAGAGTAAGGAGACTAAGACATGGCATCTATATATAGCTTTCTACAAATGGAGAAAATGGGAGGGGAAGGGAGAGAGAAGCTCTGTAAAGATAAAGTGTATTTAATTTAGTGTAGATATACATTTCCCCACCCATGCCCAGAGCCAGATTTATATTTATTTATTACACCAGATACTGTCGCACTATATAAAAAGAGAGAACTGCATGTTATATCGACTGCTGGTTATTTGAAAAAAAAAAAAAAAAATCACAGGTCTAAACAAGCATTAATGTCAAATTATTTAATGTGAACATTTACAAATCTTTTGGTCCAAAGCATTTGGACTCCTCAGTTTTATTAGAGGCATTTTGCAAGAGAAAAATCAGATTTCTGGATGCTGCTGGAGGAGACTGACACAGAACAAAGAATCATGATCTATCTGGCTCTATAAGTAAAGTAATAAAAGTCTTAACTGCATTTCCTGCAGAGCGCCCACGTTAATTGTTCCATGAATTTGTAGAACATGACTGCATACTGTGCAGAATCCCGCACACTAGGATCTGTGGCTTTCCTTTCATTGCATTTGGGAAGGAAAGGACACAAAGTCTGGTGCAATCTACAGGGACTTCATCATATATCATCAGACATGGATGAAATGTCATTACCGCAACTAGATTTGATCAAATTTGATCAAAACAGTTCTATGCTAACTCACTGGGATCTAGAAGAATATTATGGAAGAGCAACAAGCACAGCCTTCTGATGAGCACAGAAGAGAAAAACCCACAAACAGTAATATTTTTACAACCCAATGTGATGATACATTACAATTCTAATCTGACTCCTTTCTCTCCTGAACAGCACAAATGTGAGCAGCCATACAGCCCCAACTCTCACACAACTCACAGAAACATGTTCAATAACAATATGGATGATGTGCTGATTGGATCAAACAATTACTTAATAACATGAGTGAGAAGGTACGGGGCCCAAGAGAACCATGTCCAGTATTGGTGAAGTCCCTTTATCATGTGGTGGATAGAGTCAATTTCTGGTTGGCAACAATGTCATCGAGTTTCTTCTTAATCTTCAGGAAATGTCTTTTAAATTCCAGACCGTCTCCCTGTTAATAAAAAGTAAGACTGCATTAATCCAATATGGAACATTATAATTTTAAGTGAAAGTTTGTTTAGCTAATAGAGTTACAGGCCATTCATGAAATTTACAGGTCTAGCCACAGTTTGCAGAATATAAGCTCAGATTGTCACCAGTAACCATTAGTTACTTTTAACCTCTGCTTGAGAGCACTATTGTTGCCTTTTTATTCCCTTCTCCTTGAGTTCTGGTTCCCTACTACACAGAGGACACTCACATCAAAGCCTATAAGTGGGGATTGTACCACTGTACACAAGACACGCTAGAGCTGGCCAAACTCAAAACAAAGGTGAGTTTAATATCACCATCTTACCCTGTCTATTATTGGTACATATTACACTATTGGATTTTTCTACCCTTTATCTTTCCATAGGTTATCAACACTTGGAAACTGGAGCCAAAATCGTATCCTCTGAGCTTTAAGAAGAATATCATCTCTCTACACCATACTTTAAGAAGGGTACTTCTACATGCGAGATACACTACCCCGTGATTGGAACTTTTTTGCTTTCCATTTTTGAGACTGACTGTTCATTTATACACCTGTGTGGCGCAGCCCACCCCTTTAAAAAAAAAAAAAAATATATCATTCCCTCATGTAAACACTTTTCACAGAAAAGGCAGTGTTTACATTGCCCCCTAGGGACACCACCAGTGAGCACTCCTCAGATGGCCACTGGAGGTGCTTCCTGGGACAGTGATACACAGGTCCCTCGGGCATCCTGTAGTGGTGCCGATGAAGGGACAAAGTCATATCCCGCTGCCAGCTCATTGCAGGGTCCACGAGGGAGCTGTGCAGGAGGAGCACAGTAAGTAAAGGGAGCTATTCTGAGCCGCGCGTTGGACACCACTGCTGTCCTTATTTAGATATAGGTCTCTCCCCCCCACCCCCCATTTCCCCCTAAATAAGAAAATAAAGGGTTTTATACAGCTTTATATGCATGGAATCCATACCTCCCCATTGGAAACTATTGTATTCAATGTTTTCCTATGAGTTTCCGCATCACGTGAGAGTTTTACGGTCAGTGCTTGGGAAACACCTTTAGTGGCTGGCAGTTGGACAGACACTAGAGGAGGATTAGAGACACGGTAGGCACCCACACCACTTCAGCTCAATGAAGTGGTCTGGGTGCAATGTCCCATGTCCCTTAATCCTACAGAGGTAATTATTGCAGTTTCCGAGAAAATGCAATAATTACCTCCGAGGGTTAACTCCTCCTCTAGTGGCCGTCTACCAGACAGCTACTAGAAGGACATCTGGAATCGAAACAGACCTTTGCTCCGTTATTGGATGATGGACGCCCTCACACTCTGCATGAGGACCTCCAGCGTCAGATTTTTCCCTATAGGAAAGCACTGAATAATGCTTTCCAATGGGGGAATCCTAATGCGAGCGTGGCCATTGCTGCACCATGTGCATTAGGTCTCCCCCGAAGGCTGACGTCAGCGGGGGAGGAGCGTGGACGGAGCTTGACCCAGCACCAGGGACTTAAGAGGTTTTAACCCCTTCAGCACCGAAGGAGGGGGGCGCAAGGGAGGGGGCCACTGCAGTAGCCTATAGTGCCAGGAAAACTGCTTTGTCACCTGAACAACTTTAGCTTAATTAAGCAGTGTATAGAACATGCCCTTGCAGCCTCACTGCTTAATCCTCTGCCATTTAGGAGTTAAATCCCTTTGTTTATGAACCCTACTCACACCTCCCTGCATGTGACTTGCACAGCCGTCCATAAACACTTCCTGTAAAGAGAGCCCTATTTAGGCTTTCTTTATTGCAAGTTCTGTTTAATTAAGATTTTCTTATCCCCTGCTATGTTAATAGCTTGCTAGACCCTGCAAGAGCCTCCTGTATGTGATTAAAGTTCAATTTAGAGATTGAGATACAATTATTTAAGGTAAATTACATCTGTTTGAAAGTGAAACCAGTTTTTTTTTTCATGCAGGCTCTGTCAATCATAGCCAGGGGAGGTGTGGCTAGGGCTGCATAAACAGAAACAAAGTGATTTAACTCCTAAATTACAGTGAATTGAGCAGTGAAATTGCAGGGGAATGATCTATACACTAAAACTGCTTTATTTAGCTAAAGTAATTTAGGTGAGTATAGTGCTCCTTTAAGCCTTCAAGGTTACCTTTAAATAAAAAAAAAAATAAAAAAAAAAAACACAAAAAAAAAAAAGGAAGCAATTTTTTTTAAATATATTTTAGGATAAAGGGACAGGGTCAGATAAAGTTGTCTAGGTGATTATAGTATCCCTCTAAAACGTGTTTAGCTAGTCAGCTATTTGTGTTTTTGAAATTATTCAAAACAGGCCTTTTCTTTTTTTATCATATAAACAGAAAAAATTACCTTGGAAAGACGGAAATCCAACAAAATTCGCTCTTCCATTTCGAAGACAGACACCTTGAATATTAACTTGTTATTCCTTCTGTCCATGGTAGAAAGGGTTACCTGGAAACAACAAAACAGATTAAAGACAAACTAACACAGGGAGACAAAGATTACCATCTGAGAAATAGAAAAATGTCCAAGGGGAAACACACACATCCCTACAGCATACTATACAGAATGCACACACCATGTAGAAAGCACATTTTATAATTTTATATAATTTAACATATACACACACACACATATACATACATACATATACACACACACGCTTGTATTACAGAAACAGATTATATATAAATTTAAAAAATGTTTTAAATCACATGCATTATATAGAATGCACACACCCCTACAACATACTAAACAGAAGGCACATACATATTATATAGAAAGCACACACACACTACAGACAGACATTATATAGAAAGCACACACACACTACAGACAGACATTATATAGAAAGCACACACACACTACAGACAGACATTATATAGAAAGCACACACAATACAAATTGTATGCGCGCGCGCACACACACATCACAGATTGTGCGCGCGCGCACACACACATCACAGATTGTGTGCGCACACACACATCACAGATTGTGTGCGCACACACACATCACAGATTGTGTGCGCACACACACATCACAGATTGTGTGCGCACACACACATCACTTGTTTAGGATTAAGAGACTGACCTGGTTGGGGCAGGTCTTCTTGCAGACGTAGCCCA